TAATTATAGGAGATTTGGTGAATCGCCTTGAGGTAAAAATACAGGGCATAAGCAGATTGATAACCAGAGTGCCATTCAAAAAGCTAAAGATGATAAGATGGACTCGGTAAAGCAAGGGAATCAAAAATTTTGGAATCACTCAAAAAATAGTTCGGCAGAATCGACAAAATAATAATCCCTATGCTCGCACTCATGGGAACAAATGCTACCGTTGTCAAACAGACCGGGCATCTATTAAATAATTGTCCTACCCATGGTAGAGTTAATATAGTTGAAAGGGAGGACAGTGAGAAAGGTGAGTTTGAAATTAAGGTCGAACACGATATGATTAATCCAGATGATGTGTATGAAGAGGAAGAGCGCGAGGTGCGTGTAGTGTGTAGATTGATGTTGGCAACAGAAAGGATGACTGAGGACCCACAAAGGCATGGTCTTTTATGTAGACGTTATAAGGTGAATCAGCATGTGATTTGGTTAATAATTGATGGTGGTAGTCAAGAGAACTTGATATCTTGAGAAGTAATAGATAGGCTAAAGTTGCAGACGCAGAAGCACTCTTCCCCTTACAAAGTTGGCTGGATTAAACCCATTGGTGATATCAAGGTCAACAAATAGAGCATAGTCAGTTTTTCTATTGGCAGATGTATGGATAAGCTATTTGTGATATTGTTGATATGGATGCCTCTCAATTAATATTAGGGAGACCGTGGTAGTTTAATGTGGATGTGTGTCATAAGGGAAGGGAGAATGTAGTAAAGTTTACTAAAGACGATATGAAATTTACTCTATGTCTCCTGACAGGAAGTAGTGTTCCTAAAATTAAAGGAAAATATGTAGTATCATTATGTATCGCGAGGGATTTTCAAAAGGAGTTTTTACGCACTCCATTTGTGTTTGTAGCAGTGAATAAGGGATCCACCGGTCCGATGAGTGACATTCCAGAATGGCTAAATTCGCTTTTGGAGGGATTTCGTAACGTCATGCCTGAAGAGCTCCCTATTGTATTACCTCTGTTTCCAAATATTCAGCGTCATATTGACCTCGTACCCACACTTCCTAATCTTCCACATTATAGGATGAGCTCAACCGGGCATGAGATTTTGTGGGAGCAGGTGCAGGATTTATTACAGAAGGAATACATTAGGGAGAGGATGAGCTCATGCGCAGTGTCAGCCCTCCTTGTGCTTAAGAAGGACGGAACTTGACAGATGTGTGTTGACAAGCGGTCTATCAATAAAATCATAGTGAAGTATCAATTCTCAATTCCTAGGCTAGACGATATGCTTGGCATGTTGCAAGGTGCTAAGGCCTTTCCAAAAATTGATCTTCGGAGTGGTTATCATCATCTCAGAATTGGACCTAGAGATGAATGGAAGACGGCTTTCAAAACTAAAGAGGGACTGTATGAGTGGCTTACCATGCAGTTTGGACTCTCCAATGCACACTAATACATTCATGAAGCCTACAATAGGTTCTGAACGTGTTTACTAATAAATTTATTGTTGTTTATTTTGATGATATCCTAATTTATAGTAAGTCTAAAACTGAGAATGTTGAACAAAAAATTGCAGGAAAATGAACCTTATGTGAATCTGAAGAAGTGCAACTTTATGCTTCCTAAACTACTATTTTTGGGATATGTCATTTCTGTCGATGAGATACAGGTTGATGAGGAGAAAGTGCAGGCAATCCCTGATTAGCCCCGACCTAAAACTATAAGTGAAGTTCACAGTTTTCATGGTCTTGCTACATTCTATAGATGATTTATTCAAAATTTTAGTTCCATCATGGCACTCATTACAGAGTGCATGAAGAAAGGTAAGTTTCAATGGAATGAAGATGTAGACACTAAATTTGCAATTATTAAGGAGAAGTTGACCACTGCCCCCATCCTTGTCTTATCAAATTTTAGCAAGGCATTTGAACTGGAGACGTACGTCTTTGTTATTGGCATTAGTGCAGTTTTGTCGCAGCCGGGTCATCCCGTAGCTTTTATGAGTGAAAAACTAAGTGATGCACAGAGGAAGTAGACCACTTATGAATCATGTTGTATGCAGTAGTTCGAGCAATTAAACATTGAGAGAAATATTTATTTCAGTAAGAATTCATGCTGAACATGGATCATGAGGCTCTCAAATACATGAATGGTCAAAAAAAATCTTAATCGGATGCATGCCCCTTGGGTACCTTACTTTTGTAATCAAACACAAAAGTGGACAGCATAACAAGGTGGTTGGTGCCTTAAGTCATCAGGCGAATTTGTTGGGACCATACAGAATGAAATAATAGGGTTTGACTGCCTCAAAGAGTTGTACTAAGATGATGTTGACTTCACAACTGCGTGGGCATGGCGCAACATGGGAGATGTTGTTGGTCCTTTCATGTTGTAAGACGGGTTTCTATTTTAAAAAGACCAGTTATGCATCCCACAGGGGTCCAAGCGAGAGAAGTTGATTGAAGAATTACATCGAGGAGGTCATTTTGGTAGGGATAAAACAATTGCTATGGTGGAAAAGCGTTACTATTGGCCACAATTGAAGCACGTTGTCTCTCAAGTTGTGCAGAAGTGTATGGTTTGTCAGACTAGCAAGGGACAGTCTCAGAACGCGGGCTTGTACACACTTTTACCTATTCCTATAGCTCCTTGGGAAGATGCTTCTATGGATTTTGTGTTAGGACTACTACGTACGCAAAGAGCACATGATTCTATATTTGTAGCGGTTGATTGATTTTTGAAGATGGTGTAATTTATCGCATGCAAGAAGACTTCAGATGCTGCTCGCATTGCTGGGTTATTTTTCCGGGAGGTGGTTTGCTTACATAGTATTCCTAAATCCATAACTTCAGATCTGGATACCAGGTTTCTTAGTCATTTTAGGCATTCATGTGGTATATGTTTTGAACTAAGTTGCAGTTCAACATTCATTTTCATCCCCAAATAGATGAGCAAATTGAAGTGGTCAATCGGACTCTGGGGTCAATTATTTGGTGTTTGCACGGTGATAGACCCAGGCAGTGGGATTTGACTATCACTATTGTTGTGTTTGCATTTAATAACGTAGTCAATCACACAACTATTAAGACTCCGTTCGAGATTGTATATCAACGACCTTCACAGCATACACTTGACTCGATACCTTTTCCAAAATTTTTGGGATATAGTATTGCTGCTGAACATATGGTTGCGAAGATCGATGAAATACAGGCTGAGATTAAACGTAACATTGAAGCGTCCAATGCAAAAAATAAACAATCTACACATGAGAGTCGTCGATCTAAGGTGTTTGTTGAAACTGATTTGATTATGGTGCACTTGCACAAGGAGAGGTTTCCTAAAGGCACATATGAAAGCTGAAGCAGAAGAAGATTGGGTCTAGCAAGATTTTGGAGAAGATCAATGATAATGCATATGTTCTCGACCTTCTAGATGGATGGGCGATCTCTCCGACACTTCCATGATGATCCTATTTATCCTAAAATATCCTCGAGCACGAGTCCTTTTCAAGTAGGGATGAGTGATGTAGACAAAAAATTATGTAGGATCAAAAGGTCAAAGTATCTGAATAGACCGAAATTTGCACATCTCAAGCAAAACGGGCACACGAGCAAGACTCATTGCTTTGCCATGAGATCCTCTGTTTTTTAGCATCTAAAATCATTTAGACACTCAAATTTGCACTTTACTATTTTATTATTTTCAATTGGGCAATTTAGTAATTTTATTTTTGACTTCTTTTAGGGTTTTAGGATTTTCCTATAAATAATTTGTCATTTGGCAATGATCTTCATCTTGTAGATCTGAATAAAAAAATTTCTTGAAGAGACCGTAGCCAATTTTTGGCATTTTGTCTTTGCGGAAGTCTTTGTCGCAAGGCTTTCTTGGAGGAAGTCCACATTGTAAGTCTTTCTTTGATTCCACCGCTACATCATACATCCATCTAACTTTCCTCCATTTTCTCTAAAGAAATAATTATCAAGCGCAGTCACTCTATCAAGGAAAAAATTCATTCGTAAACCAAAGTTATAACTACTAACTGCTTCCAAAAAAACAAAGGCAAAAAGGGAATTCCACGGGCTTCCGCTGCACGTACACATGCTCAATTAATTTTCTCATTAAAATTAACCATCAAATTTTGTTGTTTGAACTGATGAAATCGACGATGATCCTAACATCAGAGAAGCAAGTAGTAAGGCATGATTGGAGAGAGTCTCGCCATAGGGTAGGTTGCGGTAGGAATCCATTATACTAACCTCACGCATGATAAGGAGATGACATAATTACCAATGTCTGATGGAACCACTGAAGCTGAAGATAGAGGTGTAGTAGTCAATGGCAATGACAATGAATGTTGCCGCAATGAGGATTATTATTCAAAGGAGGGAAGAGAACTAAGGTCCATGCCATACAAATCGAGGAGATTGAAATTTTGGGGTATGTTTAAAAAGGGGCATTTTTGTCTCTCTCTGTTAATGGACTAGTGACGTTAGAACGGTTTATTGAAAAAATTTCAGGGGGGGGTAGGGGGTTAATGAAGTGAAATTTATGCTAAAATTTAATGCCATTGTATATATGTTACAAATTTTATGTGTTTTTTTTAGGATAGAAAAAGATTATGACCCTTAAATATAAGGATAAAAATAATTAGATTAGTTTTTAAATTGAGGGTTGCTAGAAGAAATGGTCCATATGTGGGTCTTAAAGAGAGAAGAAAGACAAACTTAATAATTAATGTGAGCCAAAACACTATTTAACTCCATCGTTCTTTCTTAACTTTTTGAATGTGGGGCTATACCTACACACGAACACCTCAATAGGGGGAAAACGTGTTTAGAGTAAAGGTAAAAGTATGATCTATAAATACCCAACACCATAAAATACCTAGATGGGAGGAAGTCATATGGAAAACAATCCACTAGAACGTGACTCACTGGCGAAAGAGAAACGGTTAGATAATGATAAATTGTAGCTTAAACAATAGAGTAGGTATTTATTCAGAAAATAAGGAAAAACATAAAAGTTGATTTCTTTATTAATAGCTCTGTCGATATAATCTTCTACAGAACCTTTCATAAATAATAGCACTTAGTATACAGCTACATCTGAACCTGCGATTGAGAAAAGAGGCTGTGAACATATATTTCATGTCATATCCACTTCTATTGACACCACTCTGAGTACCGATACTCAGCATCCCTGCTTAAGTCCACAAGGTCGGTGTCCCGACGTAAATACTTCACATCCTCATCGTCAACGACATTTTCTTCTATAAGATACTCGGGCAAAATGCCTAAGATCTATCTACAATATTGGCTTTACGTTACGACACTCCTCTACAATGTTTGATAACTCCGAGTGGTTCTGAGTCCTAAACTTGGACATATCTCGTTCATTGCAGGAACAGTTAAAGAACCATTCAGCATTCCAGAAGCAATAGCCCTATAAGCTGCTTCAGTAAAATGAATCCCATCCCAGCTAACAAATCTCGAGGGATCACGACACACCTTGCCTCCCTCACTCGTCCCGCACAACGCAAACGCATTAAAGTTATAACGACCTCCGCTTCCACAACACGCAGCCAAAGGGGCAGCTCCAAAACCTACAAAGCAATCAAGTCCGTTCGACTTTTAAAGATTCACAAAACCACGTACAAGAACAAGCGTGTATACTAAAGCTCACCGAAAGGGTTTGGTGAGCGGAAGATGCTCATAATTCCATTGTAGTAATCTGCATAAATGATGGTTGCGTGTGGGTGAAGTCGTCGAATCCGGTCAAGCTCCTCTTGAAGCTTGCTGTTATGGTACTCAGCAAACTCATTTAACCAATTGATGCATCCGGTTCGAGGGTCATAATCTTCACTTGAGGATGAGCTCTCAAACATTGTGAGATACCAAGGGCTACATCCAATTGGGAAGTTTCCTGGGACTATAAGTGACATGGCTCCTAGTTCAATCAATTCCTAGCAATTAATCAAAGTAAGAGATTGTAAAAGAATTTCTCACAGAAGAGATGTTATGTTATCTTAGTGGGAATAAATGGTAAAGTGACAACGTTGTTGCTCACATTGATTGTTGCACCGATTGAATGAATGATTTTTGGAACAAATGTCCGTATCTTGTTGGGACTCATTCCTTGAGAAAACATGTAATTGCAATCATTTCCTCCAATCTCTCCCACAAGGAAAAGTGATTTGTTCAAGATGTTACTACAATCTGATGAAACAATGAAAATACCTTCATTAGACTTGGGAAAAGAAATAAAGAAAAGTATGACAAGTTGCTTTTATTATTATTTAGATTTTTTTTTTCACAGAAGCTATATTTATTTGTCATGATCCTGTCTAAGCAACAAAATATATTATTTGATTGTTCATTATCTTCATCTTCACCCTTTTTGTTCTTTTTTTTTTTTTTTGTGCTAACTAGAAAATATATTATTTGATTGTTCATTATCTTCATCTTCACCCTTTTTGTTCTTTTTTTTTTTTTTGTGCTAACTAGGATATCTTAACAGTTTTGAGTGTCCACATGTACCTTAGACATGTTTTCCTTGACATCATGCATTGGTCAAGCATCAGAAAAACTTGTCTTTGGGACATTTAGATAACAATAGATAGAATATAGTTAAAATATTTTATTGGGAAGGGTACCATGTCTCTAATCTTTTCTTTCCGTTTTAGCTAAATAGATGGAGATTGTTACTCTCATACCGAAAATCAGAAGAAATTAATAATCAAAACTTGCAAACTTTGTCCATTACATATATGGGGAGGATTATTTTCTCACAGTTAAGATTTCGTGTCTTTGAGTCAACAGAGCCCAGAGTATCTATTGATTTTGGTCAATTGCATTTATTGAGCATAAACCAATCAAGTTAGTGGACTTGAAAATTCATGAGTTGATCCAAAAGTAGGCATCCCTCCCAATACATCAAAAATGATCTCAGCCCACATAATTCTATCTCTGGAGTCATATCAGCATAATTTAATGTCTCACACTAAGGGGCTGTTTGGATTAGTTTTTTTTTGTGGTAAAAGAGGGGAAAGCTGCCAAAAATGTCAGCTTTTTGGCAGCTTTCCACCAAAATCTGCTTTTTAAGAGCTGATTTTAGGAGAAAGCTGCCAAAAAACTGACATTTTTAGCAGCTTTCCCCTCTTTTACCACCTAAAAAACATGAACCAAACAGCCCCTAAGTAGACTACAATTGCTAAACTACTTTTGTAGGTGCTTCCCCTTGAATTGTCTTTCCTTGCATTGCTATAAATGTTTATATATAAGCTAACATAAACTTCATATTTTTCTTTCTACCAGCGCAAAAGTAGTCTAGTGATTGTAGAGTTGGAGCTTATGTATGACAAATTGTTCATATAAGCTAATGAAAATATCATTCGATCGGCAATTAGTCATTATAAATTGTCTCTAAACAAGTTGGTTGGTGGCACGAAAACTAAAGAGGGGAAGACAAGATAGTTCAGAATAGATAAGGTAGTATTGTTATAATTTAAATAATATTTATGGTATAGAAACTCTAGAAAAGTGCAGCCACTTGTAGAAGTACTCTCAATCTGCTTCTAAAACAAACCCCTTAAAAGCAGCATCAGTTTGAATAAGCCTGCAAAATTATTTTACTAAACACCATTTTTTTTATTGCTTCTTTTAAAAAATAAGCAGGAAAAAGAAAAAGGCACTATTAAACTGACCTCTATTCTGTTCATTAGGACTCTAATAGCTAAGTCAAAAAGAAACCACAATGGTTGGTACAAACAGATGGAGTTGGTGAGATGAGTTGAGACAAAGTGGGGGGTGGGGGTGCACACATTAAGTACTTACTAAATAATAACGAACGCATGCGTGCAAAACGATTGCGGTCAGCAGAAGTTTTATATCCCATCATTTTCCTCCAGTTTCCTTTTAATTAAAACAATCTAAGATTTCCTCCATCTAACTTTTCTTTGATCAGTCGATAGATTCGTGTACTTTCAAGATAAAAACTCGAAAGTAAAGCGAGAGGATGAGATCGATCAGTACCTGAAGGAGGAGAAGAGCAGAGAGATGGAAGCAATTGCTTGAACCATTCCATCTGAACACCCAGCGAGTAATTCGTCCACGTAACTCTCATCCCTTCCTCTCTAAAGAACTCGACATCAAGCGCCGTCGCCCCACCAACGGCAAAATTCACTCCTAACTCAAAACCGGGACCGGTGCTGTTGCCCGACCCTCCAAGAAACGGGGGCAAAAAAGGCATCCCAAGGGCCTCGGCTGCATGTGCATGCGTCCCCCATTCAATTAAATTAAATTTCTTAAAATCAAGAAGAGAGGCAAAAAAAATAAAAGACTACAGATCAAGATCGAAGAACAAATCGATCTAGTATATATAGCACAAACCGATAAAATCGACTATGATACGGCCATCACAGTAGCGGCCAGTAGGGTGGTGGAAGTAAGTCTCTCCGTAGGGCGGGTTGGCCTGGTGACAGTGCTTGCCGTGGACAGAGATGACGTCGTTTCCGGTGTCAGCGATGGAGAGTAATAGTAATGCGATGAGGACCAGCGTTGGGGGAGAAAGGAGGATTGAGGCCATGGTGAGAATAATGGGAAGGGGTCTGATCACTGGGGGGAGCTAGGAGATATAAACACCGGGAAAGTCAAATTCTAGTTTCCCACTTTGTTGTGTTGCGTTTCTTTTTTCCGAACGAAACGAGGAAAACGACGTTCGGTCGGTTGCGTTGGATGGGCCCGATTTACCTACCTACATGATTGGTAGATATTTGATGAATCGTCTACGCTTGAAAACAAAACAAAGGATGACATTAATAAGTCATGAATTTTAATTCTAAACTATTTTGGCAAGATTAATGCCTCAAGGACCTAAAATATGGGACCAAGGAGTGGGACAAGTGATGTGTCTCTCCTCTATTGGATAATGAGTTGGCATGACCAACTCATTGCCAACTCATTATCCAATAGGGGATGGACACATCACTAGTCCCACCCCTTGGTCCCATATTTTGGGTCCCCGTAGCAGCGCTCATATAAACCATATTAATTATTCCTAGGGTTTTTTTTCTTTTTTTTTTGAGCAAAGTGGGGCGTGCAAGGAGTTTTGCTTGCTAGAGAGAAAAAAAACCGCATCTCGACAGAGGAGAGCAGAGGAGAAAAATTGGCTGTCTCTTCTAGGGTTTCGTACAAGGGCATGTTTTGGTGGCCGTCTTTTGAGAGAGATATTTGTGAGAGATTTGAGAATTTGTGTGAGCGTTTAATTGTGCGATTGTAAACCCTATTTGTATTCTCTTTCTCTAGTAGTAGATCTCCCTCCTCCTTGTCCCGTGGACGTAGACAATTTGCCGAACCACGTAAAATTGGTTGTCTCGCTTTTGTGTGATTTGTAATAGCTTATTTAGGTTCCCTCGACAAGTCAGTCCTATAACTGATGAGAGGAAGAGCTGATATCCCACTTTGTTAAGGTATTTTGCTTAAGGTTCATGTTTCCTTTGTGAAAAGATTTTCTATTGTAACCTGACTCTCTTGTTGTGCTGTCGAAGTGCTGCCGAAATTTTCGCTGCGCGCAACAATTACCTGGTTTATACTTTTAGAGGTGTTTAATATCTTTCTTAACTAATTTATTAGCACCTCACTCAATTTACAAGTGAGAGAAGTGTTGTCTGAATTTACACTTCTAAAATAGAGAATGTTAATTGCTGCTATAGAGAAAATCAAATTCAAGTTTCTGACTTTGTTGTGTTGCGTTTCTTTCTTCCGAATGAAACGAGGAAAACGATGTTCGGTCGGTTTCACTTGATGGGTTCGCTTTACCTAAACTAGATGATTGGTTGGTAAGGGTGGCAAACGGGTCGACCCGACTCGACCATATAAATTTCAACCCGATCCGTACAATATTGGTCCGATCCAACCCATCAAATAATAAGGTCAACCCGTTTATTAAACGAGTGACTCATGGACCCAAGTAACTCATTTAATTGTTTTATAATTTTCATGTGTTTAACATAGAGTCCATGATCAAAGTTTTTATAGTCCTATTTATCATTCATAGATTTTGTTACTGTTTAGAAGTCTATATATTTTCAGGGTGTTTTTTATAAAATTTAAATTTTGAGGATGTTTTTGATAAATTTTAAAAGTTGTAGGGGTTTTTTTTTTTTTTGCAAATATCATTTCCTTAATGGACTTTTTCTAATTTATAAACTTTATACCCATTGTAAGTTTTGACTTCTCAGCTATTTTTAAAATTTTGAATTTTTAGGGTGTGTTTTATAATTTTTGAAGTTTTTGGGGGTGTTTTTTGCAAATACCAAATTTCCATGTTACCGTTTATAAGCTATAGATTTTATACTTTTTGTAAGTTTTCATATATCTAGCCTGTATTCTATAAAATTTGCTTTTTAGGGTGTATCTTGCATTTTTGAAACTTTCAAGGTGTTTGTTGTAAATTTCAAAAAAAATCACGTTGCTATATTGAGTTGTAGATTTTGTACTATTTATAATTTTTTATATTTATGTGGTATGTTTCTGTAAAATTTGACTTTTTTAAGGTGTACTTTGTAATTTTAAAACATGTAGGTTGTTTTGCGCAAATTTCAAAATTTCCATGCTGCGGTTTATAATTTATAGATTTCGTACTATTTGTAAATTTTATTTTTTTGGGGCTTGTTTCTGTAATAGTTTGACTTTTTAAGGGTATATTTTGTAATCTCTAAACTTTTAGGGTTTTTTACAAATTTTAAAATTTTCATGGAACTCCATATAACTTATAGGTTTTGCTCTTTTTAAAAGTTTTGATATTTTCGTGGCATGTTTTTGTAAAAGTTTGACTGTTGAGCATGTATTTTGCCATTTTCTAAACGTTTAAGGTATTTTTTGCTAAGCTCAAAACTGTCAACCGGTTTTTATAATTTATAAATTATAAATTTTTCACTGTTCATAAGTTTTAATTTTTCATTTTTTTAAATTTTGACTTGAATTTTAGATTTAGTGAAATAAAATAGTTCATGGGGATTATGTACAATAACTCCTAAAGTTCATAGAGATTTAGTCTAATAAAAAAATTGATGATGTTTTACTGTAGAGCCCCCAAAATTAAGTATACCGCATCAACCATACATATGATATTTTACAATGAATCTCATTCACTGACAATAGACCTATATAATGTATGGGCCTATTTGATTGGCTAACAAAAATCACGGAAATATATTTTCTATAATGTTTTATTTTTCTTTGTTTGGTTACCACATTGAAAAAAATTAAAAGGGAGGGTGGTTGGCACCCTCCCATTGGTTGATTTGATCTTTATTTTAGGAAATCCATTTCCAGACTTTTTGGTAGGAAATCACTTATAAATTCTTTTTTGGAGTTTCACTATCAGATTTCTTCTTTTTGAGGTTTTAGAAAAAAATCAACCAATCAGCTCATAAGTGTTAACTGATTACGTAAGTGTGAGCAGCATTCTGGCTTTGAACTGGATCCCACTATCAGATTTCTTTTTGGAGTTTCACTATCAGATTTCTATTTCTTTTTTTTTTCTTACCTCACCAAAATCTTAAAACTTCCTCTCCATTCTGAAATTGCAAGTCAGAGGAAAGACATAATCATTAGAGAAGCAACGAAAATTAGTAGTTGTTATCTTTAAATGTGTTTGGGGTTGGAGTAATTTAAACGGAAATTAACTGTTGTTATTTCTAAATGTTCGTGCCTTTTTTCCCCCTTTTTTTTTATTTTTTTTTATTTTTTTTTATTTTTTTGGGTGCCACTTTTCGATCGTGCCGATCAAATGCTAGCTATAACCACTCAAACTAAATTAATGTTTATCCAGCATACAGAGTATCTTTTGTTTATTTCTTAGCATGCTGTATATGTGCACAATGGTTTAAATATTGATTTATATATTTTAAGTTAAACAGATAGGTTAATTTTCAGGTTTATTTTACAATAAGCCAAACGAATAAGATGCCCCCTCTTTTTTAATTTTTTTAACGAGAATATCTAATTATCTAAATCCATGTGGTTGTTTAGAAATATGTTTCATGCCCTAGTAAATAATCAGAAATACGTGTTTGTGAAATTTTGATTACAATCAGATTAATGTGTAGACAAATATTATATATCTGTTTTAGCCAAATAGATAAAGAATCCTATTTCCATTCTAAAAAGTGACAAATCAATAACCATAAGGGTGTGCTTGACAACTTTCTAAACTAGAACATGTTTGAACCTGGTCCAATTTTAAATTGTTTTGCTTATTGGTAAAAACTGTTTCAGAAGTGAACCAATTTATTTTAGTTTGTTTTTTAGGCTCTAAACTAATTTAGTTGTGGACCAAGTGGGAGTTGGTACAACTATAAATCAGTTCTTTCCAAAAATCAGTTTAAGGAACAAGTATAGCCCATATGGAATGCAAAAAAAAAAGCTTCTGTTGCAGCTTGCGTCTATTGCGTATGGTATGCACGAAATACAAAATATTTCTATCAAAAGTTGATGCCTATAGAGGAGTGCCTGAAACTGATTTTCTTTGAAATTAAGATCAAGTGCAATATGGTCACCTGCCTTAGAGATCTAGAGAGGATTGCTATTAGTGTTCTGCTATGTATATTGATCCTCAATTTTTAGCTGAAGAAAGGAGGGTAACTCATAGCTATCAGAAATGTTGCTGAGTGAGTCTTGATTGAGGAGTTGATCGTGATGATCATGTCTTTTCTTCTTTTGTTTGAAATTTATGTATAGGGGTCATGTTGTTGTAGGCCCTAATGTTACTTTCAGATGTTTATATATAATGCTTTGGTAATGAGGAAAAAATTACTTATCCCAAAAAAGTGTATAGCCCAACTTTATAGTGAACTGCCAAAAACACTATGCATATTGGAGGATGAGGAGGTTTGAGAAAGGATAGAACTACTTCGGGCAATCATGATGTCATGTCATGGAATATCCTAAAAGAAATAAATAAAACATAAAAAATATGGGGCAGAGAGAGGCGCAATAAATGGGTATACACCTGGACTAATTTTTAAATATAGCAAACATATCAAGAGATAAGATAGGGACAAGGGTTTACCTTTTGTTGTGGTGTGCTCTCTCAAAGAATAACAAGTTCCATACTTTCTAGTGAAATCACTGCCGATTGGATAATCATCAATATTCTCTCAACAAAAATCATATCGTCGAGACAAGCAAGATATTGAGCGGATCAATCCAACGACATGGACCAAGATTTATTCATTGAAGCCCCCCACACACACACATCCCAGTGGATAGATTTTGGTTACTTCAACCAAAAAGATCAGGTCGGTATCCATACCTGAGAGAGTAGAGTAGAGAGATGGAAGTGACTGCTTGAATCAATGCACCTGAGCACCCAGTGAGTAATTCGTCCGTTTGTCATCATCA